CCAAAATTGGGTGCAAAGTTTCGGTTTTCCCGGCAAAAACTGCAATTATTTCAAGTGCCAAAATGAGTTAAAGCACGGTGAAAAAGGCTTGCTGTATTTTTTTGCACGAAAATCTACCAGAAACGACCAAAAAGCTAATATTGCAAGCACCCATTTCAAGCGATTTTAGCCGATTTTAAGCGCCATCGTTACAAGAAGCTTTTAAACGCATGATAATTGACTAATTAAGGCCAAAATGTGCTTAAATCGGTTACCGCACGCTTGTAAATGAAATCGGATTCAACGGACGTTCAGATATTTCAAGTACTTTCAAGGGCCGAAAAACTGCCGATTTGAGCTCAAAGTTGATGCGCCTTGCAAGCAATTATTTCAATCGATTTCAAGTGCCAAAATTAGAGTAACTAAATGTCTCTAAGTGAGTTAAAACCCGGTGAAAATGGATTAGATGCGGACTTTTTTTTAGCGAAAATCGATTTCAAGAGCCAAAGTTGAAAAACTTCTCTGAAAGAGCCAAAACTTGATGAAAACTCGCTGCTGTTTCCCGAATGCTACTGGTTATGTAGATAAATGCCCGAACGTCGCATTGCAAGCAATACTTTCAACATATTTCAAGCGCCAAAATTACCAAATGTCCGCAATGATTTAAAATTGAGGAAAAATAGGTATTTTGCTCCGAAAATGTATCGACTACAGCCAAAATCCACCCGAAAAGTGAATTTCAAGCTTCATAGTTCCGCAAACCCGCAAAAAATCGTAAAATCGGGCGTGAAACACTTAGAATCGGCTTTGCAAAGTCACCGTTTCAAGAGATTTCAAGCGTAAAAGTAAGAAAAATCCTCTCAATGAGTCAAAATCCTGCAAAAATCCACGTTTTCGGGGAAAAAACAGAGCCACATGACAAAAAAGGGCTTTAAATGGGACTTGCAAGCAGCTATTTCAAGCGCCTAAATATGAAAAAGCATGTAAAAACGTTTAATTCGGGGAAAAATCTAATTTCTTCTTTCGGAAACCATCAATTTCAAATCAATAATTTCCAAAAGGCACTTGAAAGGTGTATTTCAAGTGCCAAAGTTAAAAAAAATCCTTCAAATGAAGCAAAATCTTGCAGAAATCAACGCTTAAAGAAACATAGGGAAATTAGGACCAAAAGACGCTTGAATCGAGCGAAAATTGACCAATTTCGGGTAAAAGAACTTGAAATACCCCATTTATTTCAAGCACCAAACTGAAAAATCTCGTGAATGCGTACAAATTTGAGCCAGCAATTCAATTATTTGCCAAAACCTGTCAAAATAATGACCAAACGGCACTTAAAAGGTGTATTTCAAGCGCCGAAGTTAAAAAAATCCTTCAAATGAAGCAAAATCCTGCAGAAATTAACGTTTTAAGAAACAAATAGGAAAATTGCGACCAAAAGACGGTTAAATCGAGCGAAAATTGACCAATTTCAGGTAAAAGGACTTGAAATACCCCATTGATTTCAAGCACCAAACTGAAAAATCTCGTGAATGCGTACAAATTTGAGCCAGAAATTTAATTATTTGCCAAAACCTGTCAAAATAATGGCCAAACGGCACTTTAAAGGTGTATTTYAAGCGCCAAAGTTAGAAAAATCCTTCAAATGAAGCGAAATCGTGCAGAAATCAACGCTTTAAGAAGCATAGGGCAATTACGACCAAAAGACGCTTAAATCGAGCAAAAATCGACCAATTTCAGGTAAAACGCACTTGAAATGTCCAATTTATTTCAAGCGCCAAGTTGAAAAAATCTCCTCAGTCGGCACAAATTGAATAATTTATCAGAACCTGTTAAAATATTGGCGAAAAGGCACTTGAAAAGTGTATTTCAAGAGCCAAAGTTTGAAAAATCCTTCAAACGAAACAAACTCTTGCAGAAATCAACGTTTTAAGAAACAAATGGGGAAAAATGCGGAAAAGGCGCTTAAATCGACCAATTTCATGTAAAAGATACTTAAAATCTTGAAATTTGGACCAAGAAACGAATCTGTTTAAAAACTTAAGTTTTAACAACAAAACGCAGGCAGAAAACCTTGAGAATCCACTTGAAATGTCGCGATTTCAACAAATTTCAAGAGCCAAAGTTAGAAATATCTGGCAAATGAGTCAAAATTCTGCACAAATCAACGCTTTCAAACACAAATAGGGAAATTATGATCAAAAGGCGCTTAAATCGCAAAATTTCATATAAAAGGCTTGAAATGCCCAATGCATTTCAAGCGCCAAATTCTAAAAATCTCCTAAATCGATGCAAAAGTGGATGAAGAAATGAATTATTTGCTACCAGACCCTGTCAAAACGACCAAACGACAATTCAAAGTGTATTTCAAGCGCCAAGTTAGCAAAAATCGTCTCAAATCGGCGTTTTAAGAAACAAATAGGGAAATCATTGTCCAAAGGCACCAAGACATTTGAAATCTTCGACTTTCCAATTAATTTCAAGGGCCAAATGTAAAAAATCTCCAAAATCCGTAAAAATTATTTGCCAAAAAATGTCAAAGTTATGGCGAAAAAGCACTTGAAGGGTGTATTTCAAGTAGCTATTTCAACCGACATGGTTAGGAACTGCATCTGAAGGCGCTGAAATCGCCCAATTCCAGGTAAAAAGCACTTGAAATGCGATTGCAAGGGCCGATTTGCTGTCACAGCCTGTCAAAAATGGCCAAATGACACTTGAAAGACTGTTGAAGAAGAAGAAGAAATTGCAAGCAGTTATTTCAACCGCTAGAGTGAGGTAAAACGCACTTGATATCGCCGATTCATTTCAAGGGCCAACCTGGACAAACTCCTAAACCCATGCGATTCTGGATGAAAAATCGAGTAATTTTCTTCTGAAAATTGCAGGTTTATCTGGAAGTGAAAGTGGTGCCCAATCTGATCTACGCGGTCAAGCTGCTGCTGCGCACCGCGCCTCAGAACGCCTCCTCTGAGTCAGCCGACGACGTGCCGACGCTGATCCTCTTCAGAACCGCCGACCAGCTGGACGCTGAGCACCTGCAAGCCTTGGAGCACGTGCTGATGCTGGTGTGCCATCTGGTCCATCTGCAGGACGCGTTTCTGATCCACTTCTGCGACGCCGTGCTGATCATCAACGTGTTCGGCCTGTTCAACATGCTGTTCGCTCTCGGTAGGCTCCGCCCACGGCTTCTGAGCGCCCGTTGCGACCTGCGCGTGTTTCAGGCAAGCGGCGGCTGCGCATCCTGCTGGACCTGATCTCCATCCTCACGCACACCCTGAGGAAACAGCCGGAGAATGCGGAAATTGTCGCGAAAATCCTGCTGGTCGAGGACGCGAATCAGTTGCATTTGGGCGAGCTGATGCGCAACTCGCACGCAGGCATGCGCGAGCGCTGTTGCCACCTGCTCCTGATGATGGGGCGACATCTGCCGGAGGCCTCAATGCAGCAGCTCTGGAGCGAGGAGGTGCAGGACACCTTGGAGGCGCTGGTCTTCGACTCGATCGAAAGCGTGCGCAACGTGAGTGTTTCTGTTTGAGTTAACCCAGTGGGAGTGACACCGTTGCGCTTTCAGGCCGCCGAGCTCGCAGTGATCGAGCTGAAAGCGTGCAAGTTCTACCTCAAAACCTCCCAATGTTAACTCCAAAACGTCTATTGAGGATGCAACAAGCTACAAACCGTCCTCCAGACGATGGTCGGCGTAAAACTGGGTGAGTTGCAGCACGCAAGCGGCCATGCGCTGATGGTACTGGCGCAAATCGCGCAACACCTGCTCATCGCGGTGGCTGTGGTCGAGCGCAAGCGTGTAGAACAAGTCGCTCCGATTGGGCGCGAATCGGGACATAACCTGCAAAACGGGCAGTGATTGGGCGGCCGCCATTCTGTCTAGTGTGGAGGGGGACTTGCGTTGAACAGCTGCGTGCCCAGCCAGCCGTGGTAGGGCTCCAACGTTTCGGAATAGGCCTGCTGCATCATCGGGACCAGGTCCTGCGTGGCGCGCTCGCTCTCGCTGTCCATGATGATGCACTCGAAGAACTGGCTCAGAAAGTGGAGGGCTCTGCAACAGAAGCGCTGTTGCTCAACTCAGATGGGGCAGATGGATCAGGGGCAACCTGCGCAGCCACAGCAGGGCGTCGGTGGCAACCATGCCGCCCTCCACCTGCTCCCTCAGGATCATCTCCTCCAGGTGCGCGTGCGATGCGCAGTCTTCCTCGTATCGGTTCCTCAGCTTCTGCACATACACGGAAACCCCCACTCATTTTTTTGTGCTGATCAGCAGGGATTGATTTTGTCAAAAATTTGACAGCTGTCAAGACAGACGTATTCATAAAACGCTTTTGACAGCTTTTTTTTTATTACTTCTGTCCATAACGATTTGACGTGATTCATTGTGGACTGTTTTATTATATTTTTTTAATTTTTCACCATTGTTGACTGCACTGTACGTACTTTATGTTGTAGCATTTTGTTTTTCTTTTCTTCACTCGCTTTGTCCGAAAAATTTGTGAATTTTTCCGTGACAATGAAGCATCTTTTGACTTGATTTGATTTGTATTCGGAAATAACTGTCATTTTTGACATATGACATAAACAGGTGGTTTTTTTAATGGAATAGTTGATGGAAGTGAGCCATGGAAAATTGTGCAAGGCATGTTTCCATAGCAACAAATAATAACCACGTCTGTCAAATTAGTTTGACATTCAAGTTTAGAGTTACTGGGAAAATTAAGTGAGTTTTATTGTAAAAATGACGAAAAACGCGACCGGATTGAAACCGATTTTGAGAGGTATTTTGACAGTCGTCAACTGTCTTTGACAATTCGAAAAAATGGCATAAGTTTATGTCAAATGTCAAAATTTACAGTTAGTTTGTAAACATGTCTAACGTCATTTTGTTCCTGCAACTTTTCCATTTAAT